ATCTGGTGGCCTCTCTCCTTCCCATGTACATCTTCAGATAGGCTGTGCAGAAATCAGGCTCTGGCTCATCTGACACAAACACAGGAGGGATGGATGTCTCTTCCATGTTGCTTCCTCAAGAAAATTTCTCAGAAGATACTGTTACTTATCTCAAGAGCAGTTGAGAAATGATGGGTTGAGCATGGTTTGGCTGGACTTAAATACAGCTGTTAATTGGCTGTCAGTTTGGTTGTCTAATCAGACAGAAACTAGTTTGTGACACTTCACAGGCTGAGGTGACAAACAGGTCATTGTGTGGCATTGTCCAGTGACAGGTCATTTGGTTAACCATTTATCAAACCTGCCTTGTGATTGACTGGCTTTAAGTCGGGTAAATCACGACACCTGTCTAGTGGCATGTTTGAATAAGTTGATGTGACAGTTTTATCACCTGGTGAAATACAATTCATAATACAAAAATGAAGCAGCACATTTTTTGGTCGGTTTGTGATTGCAATGATATTTCTCTTATGAAAGAAAAACTTAATGATTACAGTTTTAAAGAAAACATAAACAAAATTGTTTTTATTTATTTATTTATTCAGTGTCAATTTTTTATTAATGACCAAAAAACTGAAGTCTTGACACATGCATACTAAAATTTTTTGATAAATGCAAGCAGTTTTCTTCTTTCTATAAGTTGTTAATATTTTTAGTATGTGAGATTTTCAACTTTAATTTAAGACTAACCATTTCTTTTATGTGGTCAGCCCGTTCCCTGTCAGGCCTGCATTGACCTGTATGGTCATTTTCAATGTCATGGTCAGTCAGTTGTCCAAGGGGACATTTACTCTAGAGTCCATTCTCTTTGCATGGACAATATGTCATCTGTGGGGCAGGAGAGATTTGCTTGCGTGGTCAGTTTAGTTTAGTTTAAAAGCCCAAAAAGTCCCTTTTAGCACAACTGAGGAAGTATTTGCACAGGCCTTGAAAAATCTCACCAAATGCTGATAGTGATGTGTCAGTCTGAATATTTTTAAAACTGCAAATTTTACTTTTTTACCAGGAAATTGGCAGTATTTGTATGCAATTAAAATGATTTTGCGATAGATTTCAGTTTAATTTTTTCTGTTAATTGTTTACAGTTTCGAGATCTCAAGCTTTCTGTGTCTTTGTTAAAAGTAATGGCCAAACATTATGAATTTAACTATGGATTTATGATAAGGTTAAGAGTACCTTTTGACATATTCCATTTGACATATTCTGTATTAAAGAGTAGAATTTAGATAATTTTGATAAAAATGTCTGCACAAAATATTATACGATATTCGTCGCATATAATGAAAATATAAATAGTGCAACTGATGTCATTTCTTTACAGCCGAGTCCGTAATGAAGCGCCAATCGTCGATTAAGGGCGTCTGTAAAACGAAGCGGGGGCCCACCAAGTTAAACTTCAGATTCTGTAGCTATCACGTGCGTCTGATGGAGGGACCACCACCCAAAGAATACTACACAAAGGATCCTGATGGCTGGTATAAGATGCAGGAATATATAGAAGAGATGCGTGGTAGAACCATACAGCGGGGATTATGAGTGCCCAGGATGTTGCTGTTTCGGAGAACCAAAAAATGCATCTTGAAATTACTATATCAGGGAAATTGAATATTTGAGAGGACTAGAAATGAGTTTTCTTTTATCCAAATAACACTTATGACAGAAAGCGTTTGATCATTTCAGTGGATTGGAATTTGTTAAGTCGGGTTTTCTTCTGATATAGACTCTTCTTGAAATTTATGAATGAAAAGGTAATCAGAAAGGGAACTGATGTGCCACAATGCGAAAGGAAAGTCAGATTGTCTTCAGAATAATTTCCATCACCAAAATTTGATGAGGCATTTTTATCCAACTTACGATGCCTTTCAAGAAGTTCGTTTAGTTCGAACTCTGTGCTTTATCAATCAAAATCCCCAGGCTATATTTAGAACATTGTTTGACATAAAAATCCCTGAGGCCATCAAGTCCGACAACTTATGAATAGAAAAGGAATTTGAGTAAAACGCATAATGCATTTTAAAACACCACATTTTAGAGTCAAACACTTAGATTTTATTTTCACTTACAATAGAAATGCGAAAGTTCAGCATCAACGCTTCTTTTCCACTTAATAGGCATGTAATAACCTAATAGCATGTAATAGACCATTTGAAGGGGATTAGCCTGTATAGAATTATGTGTCATAAAAGATAAGTACAATAAAGATAGAAAAAATCTTTAATGGCGAGTACCATTAAAAACTCGAAGCCCTAAATATCAAAGCCCCTTTTTACATCGATCGGTGCAGTTTTCTATATTATTTTGGTTGAGAAATTGGCAAAATTTTTTATTAAAAATATTAAAAGAAAACTCGGTTTTAACGTAAGAAATTCGCTTAAAAGGAGTACGCGCTCGGCATTCCCAGACAACTAGTTTATTTACTTGTTACATTGGAGCTTGTGAAAAAAAAGTACCGCTAGATGAGAAAAGGGGCTAAGATTATTTAAAGCACCGTTTAATACTTTCTGTAACACAAAATTTTTACCCAGTAATAATACAGCATACTAGTTTAAAATGATTAAGCGCCTATTCTGTACTAATCCTGGCGCGTTCATACCCCTTCATACTACTTCATTCTGAGGTGACCAATGCAACTGGCCTACACAGCCGACTTGACGGACTCCGGCTCTGTCCTCGCTAAAAATACTAGCAAAATACGCCAATCTAAAATAAATGAGAGGTATTTATATCAGAGTAATCCGTATAGAAGATGCACCAAAAAGTGATAAAACTTATGTTAGACACTCAGTTGAGAGGTAATGTCGAAATGCTGGAAGTTGTGCCCGAAAAAGAAACATTACAGGAAGCCCCCTTTTTTATCAGAAGTATCTACTCTCCAACAAGTATGACAAAGTATAAAGAAACGTTCGATGATTGTGATAATAAAATTGTGCTCGAACACTTAGCCAACACACTAGACTGATAGCTAGAACATGTGAATAAAAGAGCTCCAAAGAGCATAAAAAAGTCCAAAAACAAATCAAAACTATTCGACCAGTACTTATGTCCAATTTGACACAAGATAAATTGGAAGGAATTCAATGAAATGAAATACTGTGTTCGTTTTGAACAGGACAGACCTGCCTAATGCTTCAGGTGTCTACTTTATGAAAGTGAACTACAATGGGTTTTTCTTAAAGTTAATTAAACTTATAATTAGTTTCGAGTCTAAAGGTTTAAACCAATTATAGGGCGATAGCCAATTTATGATACCACCCCCCACGAGTACAATTAACTTTGCGATTTGGGTTTAAGGCCGTTTTAAGAACGACTGACTCAGAATAACTTTAAAAAAACGAGGTAGTCTGCCTTTTAGATTCTTTGTGAAGCTCAACTTAGCTGGCTAACATTCTAAGCAGTCTTTGCTATGACCTATTTTAAACTAAAGTCGTTTTGTGAAACGTCCCTCGATCACAGGCACTGCGAAGCTGGCAACGTCGTTCGAAGGCATGGGTAAGATATAATGGGAACCATCCGATATAGCCTGGCCCCAGTTTAATCACTGCATCCGACAGGGTAAGATGTGCCCATGTGATCATGTAACCTTGGTAATTTTTAAAGTTCTTAGCCAGGGAACCTGACTTAAGTTGTTTTTTTTTTGTGTGTGTGAAACTGGGGCCTGAAATGATCCGTTTGTGGTAGGGTTAATTTTTTAGTGATAATTATTACATGAAAAGCGAAACTTTATTATGAACCGGGCATGTCACCTTAGAAGCCAATACGAAAGTGACACAAAATGATGAATTCGCACTAATGTTTAGTGATTTTACAGAATAAATGGATATATTTTATAAACCCTCTCAGCTTTTTTTCTGTTGCCGTACTGTACTTGCCAGTTTTCCATTATTTCTGACCCCACTCTCCTCCAAATACCACATAATCTTGTATAACTTTTGAACTATTTCAGATGATTCCCATTTAACAAACTATGTGGTCAAGCTTCGAAACGCGGTGCCTATAGCTTTTAGCTTAAAGGGATAATAACTCTTCGTTTCAGCCAAAAAATGAATTTTCCTGGAGTAAACAACAATTTTCCCATACTTATCAATGGTTAATGAATCCATTTTTACATTCAAAGTTAGTCCCTGGTTTTTTCTAAAAAGTTTGGTTTTTTTGTTAAAATCTCTTAAGAGATTTTAACAGAGTATAGCCATCAATGGAGGTAACGTGGTCTAAAGACAAGCTCAGATATCAGAAAAAATAGCTATAACTGCCGTTTTTGTGGTAAAACAAAANTTAAGAACGACTGACTCAGAATAACTTTTAAAAAAACGAGGTAGTCTGCCTTTTAGATTCTTTGTGAAACTCAACTTCCTGGCTAACATTCTAAGCAGTCTTTGCTATGACCTATTTTAAACTAAAGTCGTTTTGTGAAACGTCCCTCGATCACAGGCACTCGAAGGCATGGGTAAGATATAATGGGAACCATCCGATATAGCCTGGCCCCAGTTTAATCACTGCATCCGACAGGGTAAGATGTGCCCATGTGATCATGTAACCTTGGTAATTTTTAAAGTTCTTAGCCAGGGAACCTGACTTAAGTTGTTTTTTTTTCTTTGTGTGTGAAACTGGGGCCTGAAATGATCCGTTTGTGGTAGGGTTAATTTTTTAGTGATAATTATTACATGAAAGGCGAAACTTTATTATGAACCGGGCATGTCACCTTAGAAGCCAATACGAAAGTGACACAAAATGATGAATTCGCACTAATGTTTAGTGATTTTACAGAATAAATGGATATATTTTATAAACCCTCTCAGCTTTTTTTCTGTTGCCGTACTGTACTTGCCAGTTTTCCATTATTTCTGACCCCACTCTCCTCCAAATACCACATAATCTTGCATAACTTTTGAACTATTCCAGATGATTCCCATTTAACAAACTATGTGGTCAAGCTTCGAAACGCGGTGCCTATAGCTTTTAGCTTAAGCTGGGTGTTTACTGTAAAATTAATCTTTCTTCACAAACGCATTTTTCCAACTTATTGCTAAAACGGCTGCTGAATGGAAACGGAAAAAAATCACGACTGGGACGGTCAGGTTATACAAAATCATCCAAGGTAAAGTGCCGTAGAAGTCGTTAAATATCGTTATCTTTTCGACTCTTTTCACCGCCAGCGTGTTCACGGCCCAGATGCAAAGATTACAGGCCATGAGAAACACAATAAGGCCACGCCCACGCCGATGCGCCGCGTGCGTACTGTACGGCGTTTTCACGTCCGGGACGCGACGGCTACTGTCTGTGATGAACACGAACTGTGCCGTGGCCTGTGTCATTCCCATGACACACAAGAACAGTATTGGGATCACGGTGGACGTTTCTGCTTCCCCAATGGATGACACAACAGACAGAAGAAGAAAGAGACCGTTGACAAAAACTCCAGCAGTCGACACCAACAAGAGGTTGTCGTCCAAAGTGTCTATCTCCATACCCATGTATTTCAAATCCTTCATCCAAACGAACCCTATGATCACTGATATCCCTGCTAACGCCAGCAACAAGATATCCAAAGATGCGATAATATCAACACCAATGACGTCATTTCCCGTATCGCTGTCCTCGAACACCACCATGTATATTGTGATCATAATGACTGTGACAAGGCCAACGCCAAGCCCTAATATCCCCCCAATCACAGATGGCACGTGGTCCTTTAGAGCCCGAGATTTGAGCTGCTTATCCCTCTCCCTCTCCTGCCGCTCGAACTCGTCCTCGGGTGGTTCGCCGATGCTCTTGTAGATGGTGTACATAAGGGCCGCACCGATGATGCTGTACTCGAGAACACAGGGGTACAAAAATGGCGACGCCCGGTCGAAGAGGGACTGTAGACGACTGCATTCATTTGGGGTGGAGTTGTCGGCAGTCTCTTCTATAATATAATGATGGTATAACAATAATATTTTAATATGGGAGAAAAAAAAACGGGGAAAGGGAAAGGAATCAAGACCGAACAACTTTTGATATCAAGACCATCAAGACTCGAATTTCCTTCAAGTAACTTAAAATAAACAGAAAAAATTAAGATTGATATTCAAACAGTATATTTCCCTGGGGAGCATTACTTTGCGATGGCTTTAGAAAAACTTAATGGCATTTCACAAAAACATTGATCTTCATTAATTGACTATTACGGCGTATTTCAGGGATTGAGGATAGGGTCTTACTTAAGCTCTCCCGGAAGTCATCTTCGGTGTCCAGAATAGAGTACGCCACAAACACGCATGCGTTGGTCGCAGCCACGTGGCTAAAGCCAAAATTGGCTAAACCCTTTTTCTTTGTCACAACTATCTATTATGAGGGGGAAAACAAAAATAGGTCATTATATCAGTTTAGTATTCATGATGTTATCATTTGACAGTAAAATCAATCACGATGTTGTAGGCGCAATTACTTAAAGGCATATGGGTGCATTCCCAGAGATTTAGATCGATCCAGAGATTTAGATTTAGAGCGACTTAACTCCCTGGGGGTTCACGCAAAATTGCAGTAAGCCGAGCGCGCACCATAGTTAATTACCCCCTTACAGCTTTTAGTAGGCGGGACAGACACTTAAGCCGGCTAAGCTGACAGTAATCTAGTGAGACTCCCCACAGGGATAGACCGATCTAAAATCTGAGGGAATGGGGTCTATAATAAGCGTTAGACATTACACAACGTTTTAATTTCCTTGAAAATGTCAACAGGCACAGTAGGCCTATTTTGGCAGTGATTTTGCACACTAAGAATTCTGCACACTAACAATTAATGGAAAAATGCCAATGCTTTTAGTTTCTTTTTATCCTCAAAAACCCATTCTACAGGAGTCACGTCATTCACGTCAGGTTTATCTTAGATCCTCTCTGTTTTTTTTAATATGACAAACTGGTCTAAATTTAACCTGATGTGAACGTAACTTCTTTCATTCCTCACCTTGTGAAATCGGAAAATGAAATAAGTTTGAACAATGACGAAGATAGGGTTGATGACGGTCGACACGATGTTGGTGGAGGGTTTGCAACCTCGTGACACTTCCGTCCCGAATTCTATTATTTTTAATATATCATACAGGAACCCGCCAAATCCGAAAACTGGAACAGTGAAGTGATATATTCTCATAAGTTTTCATTTATTACAAACACCCTTAGTTTCAGAGGTCTTTAGAAACTCACTTGTCTAGTATCAGTATGCCTCGCTCGTTACTGGAATTTCCAGGAAGCTTTACTTTAAAACTCAAGGTGCTTAAAATAGCAGTGGCAACAACCTGTCTTGCAAATATCTAATTTTCGATATTTGTCAGGTTTTTACGAAAGGCTTATAAACCGAGTAGTACGCAAAATTATTCTTTTTTTTTTAATATAATGAAAGTTGTACTTAAAAAAAGTGATATAAAGCAGTTATCCGAATATAACTCAAAATGTTTTAACAAAGTAAATTAGTTTTGAAAAAGTACACTGATAAACCGCATACTTATGGCGCCTATCCGTAGATACAAAGTGAGACCCTCTCCGCCGTAGTGAACAGCCGGAAGTTCTTCCTCCCCGCTGGCGACTGATTTCTTCGGGGACTCCTTGGATGACGTGGCTCCGTTGCTGAATCCATCTTCATCTTTGTCAGCGTGGTCCAAGTGCACTTTGTTTTCGTGGTAGGCTACCTGCCTTGGTTTTTCGGGATCTTTTACATGCAGGTAGTGCAGAAAAACGTAGATCAGATAACCAATGGAGACCAAGTACAGGTAGCCCTGGAAAACCTGCAACGAATGTTGAGAATATTTCAGTCAAGGAACAGAAATTGCAAAGAACTGCATCACCTTCTTTTTGCCCTCAACGTTATATTAAAAGTTTCCCTCAAACAACATCTTAACTCAGTTATTTCCACTCGAGTATATCAGTGACATCTTATCCAGGGGATGACGTACAGGTGTGGTCGCCCCTACCTGAAGAGTGGAGATACCCCCAACACACACACACACACCCACCCCCATTTCCCTCCCCCTTCCCTACTTTCGCAAAAACGACAAACAGAAATACTGGGAGTGGCAACGCATCCGATTTAGTATGAAGTTGGCTGAAAAATCTTTTATGGTAACTTTAAAGGATGTGATCGTTTTCCCTATTCTGAGACTTGCTCTCAAAAGATGAAGTCGGCCCAATTAGTTTATGAAACTTGGTCGACGAGTTTTCAATAAAAATCATTTTGAAAAAACTGAAACCTGAATAGATCAATATAGCTTTTGAAGCGGATTATATATAAGTTTAACTATAAGGCAAATAAAGAATATCTGGCGAAAACCCGTGTCATTTGAATATAGCAAAGAATGTTGACGGGGCCACAGGATATGATAACATTTGTAAAAATAACCATGCTTTAAATTTGTGACTTTTTTCATCCTGCATCGTCATCTGTTATATAGGTCTACAGAAGGGCTCTAGCATGCATGCATGCACACACACACACACACACACACACACACACACACACACACACAGGCAAATACACACAGAGAGAGAGAGACTATACCTCCAAACACACAGCAGTGATATGCCTAGAGCTGGAGAAAGCCAATGCCAGGGGAAACACCAGTCCTGCACTGATGGTGAATACCGAGTATAGGCCGCAGAAATCCCGAGACTTGTACCTGTAATATGAAAGAAAAGAATAATAACGTAACGGGCTTCAATTCCGCTTAGTTAATTGTCGTGATTGCCAACTCTAAAAATTGGCGAACATTCATTTTTTCTAACAATGAATTGCGTTCGTTTTGGTTTGTTTTTCATCATATAGTTCATCGTGAGGTGCTGGAAACGGCAGATAATAGAGAGGTGAGTATACAACAGACACAGGAGTTGCCAGAGACCTCTGAAACTCGGGTGGGAGGGGGGTATTTCATCACGTAAATGCAAAACAATCACCGGAAACACACAGCCTGTCCATGGCTTTTGTCAAGCCCGTAGCCGAACGAAATGTAATTTGGAATAATACCAAAAGGGTCTGCTCAGCTAGCTCTCAGTTTGGTCTATCACAGCCACAGGATCACACAATCGATATGCAATACACTATAGTGGCTGCAAAGGAAATTCTTACCACTACTCTAGCGGTATTATCACTACAAATGCTTCTAAATATTGACTAAATGTATATCGTTTATCTAATGGAGTTCATCATCATCATCATCATCATTGTTTTTGTTGTTGCTGTTGTTAAACACTGTACAAAAGTCAAAGTAATCGAAAACCTTCCAAATTTCTTACAACTGCGTATTGAAAACAATCCACAGGGAACTTACAAGGACTTGATATATGTAAACGCAAAAGAGTATATGGACTTGGGAGAACTCCATTATCACGTCTTATTTACCTTAGGGAGTCAGCAGGAACTAAACGTATTCTTGACACTGACAGCCAATTCAGCCAAGTGTTAATTGAAACTGCTTTATTCTCATGGTAATAATATAAGCCACGTCAAGTACCAGTGGTCACGTGAGCCTGTTCACAGAGGTTGTACCAGAACATGGAGCAGGGTAGTTTATCATGTGAACGTTTTGTTACTATACCAATGTAAATGTTTTGTGTCCTGCCAAAATAGGTACATACGTCCATAGTGTGTGTTCTACTGATAACTGCCAAGTGTTTTTTTTGTTTTTTTTTTTTTCAGAATTGTTTTCAAAGGCTCTATTAAAATGCTAACTTAAATTTCAAACCACACATTTGGGAGATAAATCGACTTATTGAAGAAGGTATGATTTTGATGATTTTTTTTTCGGTGTACGTGGATCAGGCTGTCAAGCGTCACATTAAAAATATTCTCATCACTGCCTCGTGCCATCGCCTCGTTTTTTTTTACTATCCCATTACGGTTAATATATATGTTTTGAAATGAAATTGTGTTGCTGAGCACACTCAAATTTTGCTGCCTTTCATTCTTGTTAATCACCTGACGTACCTATAAAATAATTTTGGCAAAAAGCGTGTACACAAAGTACCTTATATATCCAGAACTCGACATGCAATGACACGCCAATCTTTCTTTCGTTATTTTTTCTTTTTCTTTTTGTCTTTCCTTTTTTCCCGGGTCCATCACATGAAGTGGTGGGGAAAATTAAACATTGTCGCATTTTTTTTAAATCTAAAAATGCGTTTCACGAAGGATTGAACAACAATTAATAGTCGACAAACAATTAATAGTCGACAAACGCTTATCTTACTAAAATTGTAACCAGTAACCCATGCCCAGACAACCGTAATTTTCTTCAGGGGGGGGGGGGGGGCGCAAAAAAATAACGAGTATTTTTAAAGCGCATTTTAGTCGGCTAAGAACATAGCCGTCTTGATTAAGATCGAACGTCGACTTATTATCACAGGCCCCGGGGCGTACCAAGGAAGGATGATTTTTTTTTTAATTTCTACAATTTAAAATTCCCTTTACTTAAAGATAACGGTTTCCTAAACATAGCAATAAATAAACCTCTGGCGTACTTCAAACCAACATCTGTTTGTACATCTACAGCTTACCTGAATATGACAAACGCCAGCTGTGAATTCATAGTGAACCCGCATCAAATACAGAGCTGAATGCGTGGTGAACCCGCAATGTGCAATATATATATATCATTTTTATTCGAGTTCCTGACACAAACACAGGAAACACCTTCTGATAATCCAGACGGCTTATTTAAAACATCACTGCAAAGTTCGGGTCAGTGGTAAATATGTCCTTGCTGAACTACAGGGAAATAATGTTTGCTGTTTTAATGGAAGCTTAGGAATAATCAAGATGACGATACAAACACAAGAAGATTAGTTATTAAATTGATCGCGGGAAAAAGAGTCGGGAGGAAAATGGAAAGAGAATCAAGCGCTGAGGTACCCCATGCCCCTCTTAAACTGAAGCGATTATATTAGCCTAAAGCATTCAATCGACCTGGTTTTTCAGCGTGGTCCAAATAAACAGAATTAAGGCGCAGAGCAGTCGGATTTGAGTGTATGCACCATTGTGTAAACACGTATATGCATGTGAATGGTGGCGTGGCCAGTGATCTCAATATATTGAACAAAGATTTCTATTAACGCTATATCAGATATTGAATCATACTCAGGGATACGGACAATGCCCTCCTGCTGTACCCCACCACCCCTCTATACCCCACCCTACCATCACACTTTACAGCTAGTCGATCACAAACACGCCTTCCCACCTTCTCAAGCTTGTAGAAATACAAAAAAGTCAAAGACCAAATCATATTATTTATTTAACTCACTTATATTATCGAAATTATTTTGAAGTGATAATTTCATGGGCGGATAAGGAATTCACCGAAGTACCCTGGGTTTAACAATAATGTCAGTGACCCTTCGCGACACAGCATGCGATTTCTGTCCAACTTTCAGATATTACTTAAGTTAGTGAAATAAGGGAGAGCTTCCCAAGCTTCTGTTGGTTAAGGACACATTCTACACGTCGTATGAGTCCTAGCGAGAGCAGGTATGTGAGATTGAAACATACTGATATCACATAACCCGGAGAAGGTCAAATCACAGCTGAGTACAGGGACTTGCTTTGCGGAGCTGTGAGGTCAGATATGTATCACAGCACAGTACACTGTTCACTCTTATCTTTGTTGAAATTGCTCCCAGCTACCGTAAAGATTAATATTTTATCAATATTGACCCTAAATTATAAACTAAGCGCACATATTTTTATAGTTACATAAGAACGAGTAGATAAGCGAAGTTAGTGTCACAAAGGATCATGCGGTACTTACCGACGACTAGGGGCTTTTGCAGACGCCATGTTCCCAGCTTGTGTGACCTGACGTCAGCAGTAATGCGGATCGCTGACCAAGCCGAGAAAGACCTGAAAGGTAAATAGATGAAGACGCGTTTGTTTTCGTTCGGGTCTACTCAACATAGAACAAGTCCGAGGTGTGACAATGACTTTTCACTGATTGCATTATAATTAAGTAACTACTTCTCGATTATAAGAAAAGAGAATACCTTTCTTTTGGCCCTATAGGCAGCACACTGCATGGTAAAGTTTAGAGGGAGTTTTTCTAAACTTTATTAGACATGTCAGATGAAAGGGATGCTTATTGTAAATTTTCAGGTTATAATTATTATTATTTAATTTTTTTTGTACTACTAAGTCGTCTTTATTTTCTTACTGTCATTCTTTTTTCAATAAAATTGTGACCACTTGGCAGTCTACAGGCCAACTGGCTAGAGGATATCTAAAAAGGTGTTTTGTTCTTTTTCCATTGCCGCGGCGACCTACTACTAGTAAGAAACAATTTATTTTCGGTTCAAAAAGGGCTCAATTTGAGCTCGGTCAGAGTTGAGACGGGAGTTAAAATTAGACAAATACACAAGAAGTTGGAGAACAGGAAAGTGTTTATGGTCGCTAAAGAAAAAAATGCCTTGTTAAGATGCTTCGCAAACTAGTATATCGTTATTAGATTGATTTCAACTTTTTTTGATAAAAGTCGTACCACAGTATCCGAGTGCATATGACAATGCAAAAAGTTGAGAAAAAAAATCAGCGATCAAAACAAAGTCACTGTCAAAATGTCTTAAAAACAGCTCCATTTTACTTTTGCATGCTCTCGTTATTCACGATTTGAGGGTAGCCCAATCACAAATCCTCGCCAAAACAATAGAGACATGTGCACGACTTGTGAAAAACAACCAGAGAAATTTCTTGCGAATGTCACGTGAAAAGTTTTCCCTGTTTTTTTTTTCCTGATAGAGAATACTTTTGCACAGACTGCATTACAATGACAATTGTGTTAATTCTTCGGTACTTACTGTCTACTTTAGTTCGACATAACGCCCTGGCGAGAGAAAACGATGTTATACATCACTCCGCGTAGACAGTATGTGTCCTATTGTAAATGGGGATATCGACTGCAAATATTCGCCGTTATTTTACGTTATGCGGAATAATAGAGATGTATTTCAGGTGAAATGCATCAAATCACGATACATTTCCGTTTCATGGTATTTTCCCCACCTTTGTCTTTATCGGTTACTGTAACAATCAATATAATTCCATTAGCCTAGTTACTAGCGTCTCGACAAATTGATCAAATATATTTTGCGTGGATAAAAAACGCATCGCAGTATTAACTATCGCTCTAAAAGAATCATATTGATAGTGCCGACCATACGCCACCCCTACCGGTTTACAGAGCTCTGCTGTTTTTCATACATCAACCTTAAACTAGTAAACATTTCGGTAAAATTGCTTTTAACGTAGTCTTACAAACTACGAAGTTAACAAATACATATACAAAAATTATACTCAAAATACGCGATGTCAAAATTGAGCGTTCTTGAATGATAACCATCTTATAGACTGTAGAAGTCTCTATGATGATAATGATTTATTAAAAAATAATAACCAATAAGTTAATAATATTAACGTGTTCGATCAGGACGAGGCAATACATGTACTTCATACCGTTAATGTCACGTCAATATATTTCAATACGTCCGTACTGGCAAAAAAGACTGTACATTTAATGTAGGTATATCCCCATGGGAGATCGGGGCACGTATTATAAAATAAAATTCAACAAGACAAAGTCAGAGACAAGGGCATACAAAACATACGAGTCATAACTGTAATCTCCTCTCCTATATGATACACCTTGTGCAGGATATCCAGCTAAACAGAGATTTTGCCAGACAGAATAAATAAAAGTCTAGGGCACTTGAGGTTAAAACTTCCTCTTCGACGGTTCAGCTCACCAGGTTCTTCTACAGGTATATCCAACCCGAAACCGTTGAAAAATTCATGGCCTGTACACCAGTTTTTGCGTTTAAAATTCTGATTTTTACCGACACGAATGCAATTTTTATTTATTTAATATTATTATTATTATTAATTTATTTTATTTTATTATTATTATTATTATTATTATTATTATTATTTTTTTTTTTTTTTTTTTTTTTTTTTTTTTTTTTTTTTTTTTTTTTTTTTTTTTTTTTTGCTAAAACGACCAGTTATTATCTCTTTAATATTCCGTGTACTTTTATGATAAAGGTATTTCGGTACGAGTCCCCAACATAAAGATTTGTAGATTTGTGTTTGGCTTCGTTTTTCATACATCAGCTTCAAGCTACAGAGTACACTTAATTTCTCAAGAGACCAATCCAGTTGAGAACATTAACGTTTTCGTCCATCACATTAACGCTGACACATCGATTAAATGCCTGTTTACCATATGAAAAAATATGATGTTTCGAACTTAAAAACTATAAAAGCGATAGGAAGGAATACTAGGCTTCTTAGCAAAAGCATTTTGTGTGCACAGAAGGGTCCTATGCCGACAGATTTTACTCAATAGCTGATATGATAAGCACTCTTTCCAGTTTTTGACCCCCAACCGGATTTTTTCTTTAAAAAAGTAATTTTCTGCACCTCCCGAATCGATGTTCTACGCCTTTTTAAATTGAATTTATTTTCTAAATGCCGTTACGTTTGGAACGCCATGACTTCCTGTATATTTCTAGCGGAAATATGGACTTCGGGTAGTTTCATCAGAGGGCTTTCATCGTTTCTAAGGTCTAAATTGAGAAAGAAAAGTAGCCTTGCATGAAATGCAGAGATAAAACAAGGCAGCAAAGCTGTCAAATGTACAGACAAAAAAAAACAGAAAATAAAGATGCAGAAAATAGGCCATTTTGTCAATTTTGATGCAATAATAAATGCAATAATAAATGCTTATAATAGCACAGTCAATCAACACTGAATTTTAATTACGCACAACAGGTAACATGGTCAATAACAGGAGCAGATCCAGAGATATTTTTTGACAGTATTCCAAATTATCTTTGTTAATCCATCCTCCATTTTTGATGGTCTTCCAACAGAAAAAATAGATACCCGTCAATGTAAACTTCAAAATCTGACCGTCTTCCGGAAGACCCAGAAGACGGTCTCAATCCTACCCTGCAATAAGATTACAGTTTCAGGACCATGAGAGTTCCAATTCATATAATGAAAATACCAATATTTGAAAAATGATGACAACGCGTAAAATAATAATACATTATGTTTAAAGACATAAATTCCAATACAACTACTTATGTTGAAATACAGAAAATGTGCAGAGCTTCAAGTGGATGGGAGTTAAAAGTCACATCTTGAAAATGCCAGTGTTTGAAAAAAATTAAAAAGAAAACAACAAAAATAATTCCAATTGCTATTCAAACTTTTAATCTTGTTGTATTAACATGATATGAATAACCCCATTGTGTTTGAGGATAATAAAGCACTGTTATCCATCTAAAGGAGTAATGTTGGCATTAGACAAAATGATTTTTTGAAAACTTATTTGCAATATTAAACAACATTTACCTGCATAATTATCACTGCTTCCTTATTATGGACACTGTTATCTGGCAGAGAGCTTAACCTATGGGATTTTAAAGGGAAATCTCAACATGTGTGTTTTATGTAATCTCATTTAATGGCCACTTGAAACTTAATAAGGCAAGCTCTGAACTAATAATAATGAATACATAATGTATAATTACCAACAATTTTTAATTATGCTGAAAAAAAAGTGAAAAAAACAGCTTAACTTTGATAAAAATGGCCCGATCAGGCTAAATTTTGAAATTAACCTTTTTTCAGGAATATTTATCAGTTCTCTAATTTTAAAGCTGAAAGGTTAAACCATTTTCCACTTATCCTCTTATCGGTGTTGCACATATGCTGAAAAAAGCAAAAAAAAAACAGCATAACTATTAAGAAAAAGGTCCGATCAGGCTGATTTTTTAAACTTAAACTGGGTTTTATGAATATTCATCAGTTCTGTAAGTTTCAAGCCAAATGGGAAAATGGTTTTCCACTTAATCGTTTTATCAGTGAAAGTGCACGGTGACAGCGACAACAGATGCAGGTGACGGCTACATGTATATGTACAGACACATCTGTGTCTGTACATAAAAATAATAAGTAACACAGTTTTCTTTTAATTACGTTTGTGTTGGTAGCAAGCACAAAGATTTTTTGTCAATTTTCAAGCAATATTTCATAATGATTAACATCATAATTACTACCAAATTTTAATTATGTACTATAAATTACATGGAGATTTAGTACATTTGATTACCATTCAGCTTCATGCCCCTGGGAACTCCAAGTCCCACTTTGAAAATGCCAATATTTGAAAAAAGGAAAATCTCACAAAATGTATAACTTCCAGAAAAAGAAGCCAATCTGACTGCTTTTCCAACTCGGGCAGCATTTAAGTCATATGTTTCTTTTCTGTAAGTAGAGTAAGTTACATGGTTTTCCTTTTATGGTCACTATGGAGGCAGTGCCCAAAAAAAGGTTTTCTTCAACTTTGATGCAATATTACAGAATGCTTTCTAGCATAATGGCCATCAATTTTCAATAATAAAATATAAGTGTCATGGATATTTAGACGATGTGACTAGTAAATGTCTTCAGAGAGGTTTAATAGCCACACCTTGAAAATGTCAAGATGTGAAAAAATGAAGTTTTCACACACAAAAAAAGTAAAACTTCCAGAAATATCAAATAATCAGATTTGTTTTCTAATTGAAGCTGATTCCTTTGTGTCTTTTCTATAAGTTTGAAAAGAGTTAGTGATGTGGTTTTCCTTTAATGGTAACTATGGCAGCAGTGCCCAAAATAGGTTTTTCTTCAATTTTGATGCAAAATTACATAAAACTGAACAGCATAATCATCACCAATCGTTAATAATGCACTGCAGGTAACACAGATATTTAGAAAATGTAGCTAGCAAAGGTCTTCAGGCCCATGACATTTCTAATTCAAACCTTGAAAATGCCAATATGTACACAAGAGATAACT